TCTTAACTACTCATTCTTGGCGTTTCGTGCAAAGTTTTTGGCATCGAAACATCGCATCAGTCAGGTTTATCAAACCCTCACCCGCACTGTTTGGATTTTGGAGTTATTTGTCGACGATTGACTAAAATAACATTCGTGACTCCCCGTATCAAAAACAGGTGATTAACTTAGTAATTCAGTTTACTAAGTCCGAAAGCTTTGTGTATGAGTAACGATCAGATAGTGTATATACAGAAAACTCTGAAAATGCAAGCATAATTTGCTTACAAGGAATTAACCCAAAGCAAGATAAACTCACCAAAACCATCATTGATTACGATTCCGGTTATAACACCCACCCCTAAATAATATATTCGGTCATATAAATATTTTTCAAATGAGTAAGCGATCATGGATCTCCATAATTTCCTATCCTTTGTTGCTCTGAGTAACTTTTCATCATCCCTCTTTGTCCCTCATTCATTCATTCGCACAACTGATTTACTTTTTTTTTACGGCTTAACAACCCTTTTTACGTTATTTAAAGATTAAATATATTTTAGATCGTAAGAATACTTTTTTGCGAGTTAATATACTTGTAATTCTTTCAGAGATAGAGATAATTATTCCAGGTATAAGTCTGACTATTTAACCCATAGCTGGGGGAGAAGAGATGGATTCAGACCTTTCTCTGGTATATTTGTAATCAACTGAATGTAACAAACTCTAGTAGAATTTGAACTCGTCTCTCCGACTTCTTATTCCGAGCCGCTATACATTACACTACCAGCACATCCCCATTCACACAACTTCATTAAGTAGTTTACTCGCTGTGCCTTCCTGCTTCTCTTACATTCAATATGCCCTATGAGTGTTACATTCTCTAGGCTTTCTTTCCTTATGTATCCCATAAATTTCATCTGTCTCATTCTGATTGTAAGTATATATGTTTCTTCGTTGTTCTTATTTTTCCTAAATTCTCGTTGGTCACGCTAGACACGTTATTTATTTTTCTTTCAGTTTTAAGTCAGCATTTTAGAGGAGGAAGTTAAAACTATAAACTCTAGAGGAGAAAAAACAATAACAGAACGGGATTCAATGAATTAGAATGCAATGGTTGATATTGCATTTAATATCAAAGTTGACTCGAACGCAAGAAGCCGATTGACAGTTCGACATGCGAAAAGTGCAAGAGAAGAAACTGTTCGCATAGAACTTACCAATTATATCTAGCAAATGATGAGACCTAACTGCCAATCTAGTGCTACGCTTATTTTCATTAATTCGATGTACCAAAGAGGAAAGCTCACCAGATCAATTGGTACGAAAATATTTTTAAAATGGTACCCTGTGAATCTACGTTTACGGTGGTGGGAAAGTAACAGAAGCAGAGATTCCTGGTCAGGATCGATAACATTTATAACTGTTGTTCTCATCTTCGTTGCCATATTCCTGACGTTTCGGCCGTTGTACGCTTCTACCTTCTTCAAGTGATTGGAACTTCGAACCGAACTATTTATTTCGTCCACCAGGGTAGACTGTTTTATATCCACATGCCATGCCTCTTCAGGATCAGTTATCTCCCTTAACTTAACTCTCCAAGTTTTTGTTCACCTCTGCTGTAGCCAGGTATTGAACTCACAACTTTATGGGCCAAGTCACTGGAATCAACAAAGGCTTTTATGCACTGGGCCACGTGTTCTTGGGACCGGAGCGTACAACGGCTAAAATGGCAATGAAGATGAAGACAACAGTCCGAACAATGTAAATAGTGTAAATAATTACAATAACTCATCTCAGAAATAAAGACAGTTCCTAAAGAAGGGCGAAGAGTACAACGGCTGAAATGTCGTGAGTATGGCAACGAAGATGAGGACAACAATCCGAACAATGTAAATACTGTAAATAATTACAATACTTCATCTCAGAAATATAGGCAGATACTGAAGAAGGCCGGCGCGTACAAAGTCTGAAACTTCATAAATATGCCAATTATTATCAACCGGTTTTGATTAAGAAGTCCTAAAAATATCGCTTCCGACAGGAAGCGGACCTGTATTCAATTTTTATCTATCAGGGAAAACACTCTTGTAGCCACAGCGTTCCGTTACCTATTTGGCCAGGGATAAAAGTAAAATTCTGTTACTTAAGGAATGCCCAACTTTTTCAAATCTATATCTGGCTTAATATTCGTAAAAAAAAAACTTTTAATGTCAGTGCACCGATAACGATCCCACCATATGTTAGTGTGTCCGAAGATATGAGAAGTTATTCATCTAATAGAGATTTCTTTCAAAACAGAAAAGCAAAAAAATATTAACTAAGCAGATTATTATAAGAAATAATATTTTCTTTAAATCCCCTAAATGAGATTATTAAAGTCCCCTATCACCAGATTATCCTTCTTTCGATGTCTGTATTTGTTACCTAGGGTCACATATGAAAACCCGATATAAAAAGCGGGGTATGCTGAGAATGATAAAGTTGGTGTAAATATATTTATTATGAGAACCTTTTGTATATTTTTGCAAACATCAAAACGTACTTTGTGATCATCAAAGTAGGGTAACTGGTACAATCATATTCGTTCTGTAATGAGACGAAATACTTATATAGTTTAGTATGAACTTATATGTGTGTGTGTGTGTGTGTGTGTGTGTGTGTGTGTGTGTATAATTTTAGATGTTGCCTTACCCGTTCCGTTCAAAGCGTAAATCAGCTGTCGTTCAAGTGCTAAAACAAAACTTTATAAAAACTTTATAAAAAATAGCAAAATATAAATTAGAAAAATAATCGCATGTGTGAACTCGAAGGCAAAATTGATATAAAACACAAAAAAAAAAAAAATGGCAGCAAAATGAACTTTCATATAATTCATATTATCAGTACGTGCGGGTGGGAAAATGGATAGCCCATCGGAATGAGGAATCGGAGAACTACTCTCGGGTATATGACATTTACTTACTCCAAAATACCCATCTGTCCCCCCCCCCCCACACACACACCTCTATCTCAGCTATAGATTAAATCGTAGAGCAAACTGAGGTATTCAGCCTTCATTGGGACCAGTCTAGAAAAAGAACAACTCCAGACTCAAAAACTTGTGAGCCCTGGCGAAACACATACTATATACTGGTTATACTTATCGTCGAAGTAACTGGTCTTTTCAGGCGAATTCGACCAGTGCATGAATTTTCGTGTGGCTGATCAGAACAAACCGAGAACAACGCTTTCCCTAATAGTCCATTTGAAAAGACCATGGCTATCAGTAGAGGGAAGATTTTGCGATGTTCTTCTGTCTATTGGACCAACTTTAATTCTGTGGTTTGAACAGTGTCTATGTAGACACATCGCCGATCTCAAGCCAATTTTGTCTTATCGCCAAGGGAAGATATTACAGGTTTTCAGAATAGCCTAGATGCTATGAACCCATCTCTTCTGCCTCAGCTATGAATTAAATAATAGGGTTGTCGTTGCTAACCAGTCTAAAAGGAGGACAACTCTGAATTTGAAACCGTAATGACCAACTCACATGTTGCCATTTAGCGTTTGCCATGATGTGACCAATGGTAAAATCTAGCAGACCATATTTGGCTTTAAGCTGCAAAGATGTCATGGAAAAGATCTTTTATTCTGGACTTAATTATTCGGAATCAGATAGAAACTGTGGAAACACGTAAAATAGCACCGTGTTTCTCATAATATATGCGCAATTGAAACCCTTAAGATGGCACGCGAAAAGGACACCAGGAAGATGTGGATGTTTTAGGGCCTCCTGACGGATGACCTAGTCAGTTAGTCTTTTATATCAAAGAAAACAATAATGTTAAAAAAAACAAAAAAACAGCTGTGCCTCAAATTAACATAAGTGAGGAAAGAATTCCACTCCTTTAATTCGAAGAACTAAGAATGTTAACGCTTAACTTCTTTTGCGAGGCGATAACATTCAGTACTTCACTCGAATATTGGCCTTTCTTTCTTAATTTTGTCTAATGTCTCTCTAACAAACCATATATATTTTGCGGCAGAAATGAAGTTACCGTGTATGCGCAGAACAGAGGCTCCAAAGATATGGAAATTTGAACTGTTACGTTTTTATTTTTTGACCAATCGGAGCCCCCAGAAAAAGGACGCTACATTTTGTGTCATTTGCAGACGATCTTTTTTTTTTAAAAAAAAAAAAAAAAAAAAATAACGAATCAAATAACTGCAAATCTTGATATCTTTTCGCTTTTAAATTATTAAATAAAAATTAACAAACTATATATATTTTTTAACTCTGTGCTGCTAGTCCAGTCAACTTATTCACCCTCCTGATTGACTAAGTTCCTATGATTCAGAATATTTGGCCATCAGGCTAGTCTGTTATATTAATTTTCTAAGCGTAGCTTAGATGTGGCACAAGGCCCAAAAGTATGGGACATTTAGTGAGGATTGAACTCACTTTTCAGTCGTAACTAATCTAGCAAGACAAGCTTGTTAACCATTACACCACATCGAGGTGTCCAAAGGTTAATCCGTTGTATTCAACAATTCTTACTAGTATGGGAGTAATTTTCAATTAGTGGGGAGCATTTAGGTTTTTTATGTATTTCATGCGATGTAAACATCAATATAAGTTAACTGACCTTCTCCCCCAAAAATTTACAGTTAGAAAATACTTTTGGGGTTTTTAGTTTATTTGCTCCAATTGCTGAATTCCATACTTCAATAGCCCCTGTCAGTGTTAATTTCGCCACACCCTTATTCCCGTTGTATTCCATTCATAAAGAGGAAGTTCCAGTCAGACAACTTGTCCCCCAAGAACAGTTTTGAGGAATCACCTCCTGAAAGAATTTTTCCTCGATCACTACAATTTTGACACTATCAAGTCTGTAGTCAATTATCTATACTAATACCCTCACCTTGTACACACTTATAACAACCATATTTAGTAAAGCTCCACATTGAGTGGGTCTTGAGGCTTGTAATGAGTAAAACAAAATGTTGCTGATGCTCTCCCTGTTCTTCTCACTCGGATTGATGGTCATATCACGTTGAAACACCGGTTCTCGTATGATCATTGAAGTTAAGCAACGTTGAGCCTGGCCAGTGCATAGATGAGTGACCGCTTTGGGATACCAGGTGCTGTAACCTTAGATGTGCTGGTGATGTAATGGATAACGGCTCCGTCAGATTTATTATATTCAGTTACGCGCAAATACTCTTGGAGAAAGATATGAATCCACCTCTTCTCTCCCCAGCTATGGGTTAATTAGTAGAACTTGTATCAGTACATCATTTTTATCCCCAAAAGATTGTTACATTCTAAAAAATATTTTCTGTCCTTGAATAACCTGCAATGGGCTGACAAGCCGTAAAACAAACAAATCATTCTTTCCACTGTGTAATAATGATGCAAGTGTTGCCTATCAAAACAACTTTCACACAAAAAAAGTATAAAATTCTATATACAGGCGTCCTTCGCGCATTTAATTAATGCGTTTTCGATGAGTGCGCTAAAGTTTTTATATACCAAAATTCGATTACTGCGGTAAAACATTCTTCAGTTTAACTATAGTAATTGAAAATTGATTTTTTTACATATACCGATGTACACATTAGTCGCCCTAATCGAGGGATTGCTGTACGGTAATATTCATGTAAAATGGAAAGTAAGAATTTTATATGTTTTCAATTACGGCATATTTATGAAGTTGCTTTTTTTCTGTTTTAAAAATATACGTAACTGCTTGATGAAATTTAGAAATTGTATCATCGACCTTCGGTTTTAATTCCTCTCCATTTAAAAATAAAAAATAATATATATATATATATATATATATATATATATATATATATATATATGTGTGTGTGTGTGTGTGCAGCCCTTGATTAATGCGTTTTGTACATAAAATTAGTGCATACATAATACTCGATTAGTGTGGTAAAACATTCCTCAGTTTAACCATAGTAATTGAAAATAGATTTTTTAAAGTTACCGATGTACACATTACCCGCACTAATCGAGGGATTGCTGTAATACATACATAAATACTAACGCCATAAGATAGATATTTGCCATCTAGACTACAAATAAAAACAACACAGTATATAATTTTAAAAAAAAAACGAAATAATATTTCCGCATTATTTCACTTGGAAACATTCTGATGAAGCTAAATAAATAGCGAAACATGTTAGATTTATACAGATTTCTCAGCTTGTTTCTTATGTAATCCATATTTTCAACTCATTTTTCAAAGTAAAAGTTTCTGAAATAACTACATTGTCATTAAATATTTACATTTCATCACCGCTTGGCTTACATGTCTCAAGGCACCTCGAGAGATTCTTTTCAGTTGATATTCTCACAGAAAGCATTTAAACACCAGAGCCACAGGCAAACAGGTGAGAATTCTTCCAGTTAAAAAAAAATAACGCAGAAAGGTATCAACTTATGATATTATTATATGATTTCTATTTCTGTTCTAAAATGTCCACCTGAACAGGTGACATAAACAAAAAAAATGACCCCATTCCCAGAAAATATTAAAACAATAGTCAACTTAAAAATGGAAAAAAAATGTTTCAAAGCCTTTTTACTTGAAATAAGCAAATTCTTCCCAGGCTCGACATAGAACAGATTCGGATTGTTCATTGTTTTTCATTTTATATTGTGAAACAAAAAAATATTTCTTTTTGTTTGAGTCATATATTAAGTATTTAAAATTTCAGGTCATTATTATTTATTCTCGCTTCGAGTAGAATTCATGAGTACAATAGGACTTCATTATCCAAGGATACGTCAACTGCGATTTCAATTATTTGCAATTGGCTGAATCAGACCAAAACGTTCATCCTCGATTTTTTTTTTTTAAAATAAAACAACTTTTAGTCTAAATTTTGAAAATGACAAATTATCATTATTATACAAAGACTTAAGACGAGTGTCCTCATCTTCGTTATTATTATCACATTATTGTTATTATTAGCCACTATGCTCCACAACCTTCTTAAGGCGTCTTTCGTAATTGGTATTTCGACTCGAACTCTTTAATCTGTAAGATAGAAATATATATGACAATGAAGGATATTTAACTTGGCCTTGCAGTTGTCTTCACTGCATAAACAGCTGAAAGGTCAAGTTAAATACCTTTTAACATTTATACCTTCCACCTGTAACGTCAGATTTTGTTGATTTTATTCATACCGTATACACACACACATATATATATATATATATATATATATATATATATATATATATATACATAAACAGACTGTTTCGCTTTATCACAGCTCCTCAGTGTGGCTAGACGTCCGATTGCTTCAAGCCTGGACTAACATCAGTTAGATATCTAACCCTTAAGCCATCGGCAGAAAGGAAGAGAATTTTAACGTTTTTCTCTATACGAAATACGCCAGTGGCTCGAAGAACACCATTCATACTTGAAGGGTAATGCTTAATAGCAGTAGGTGTCGCTGCTTTTAAAAACCTCTTTCCCTAGAGAGCTCAACCGGATATATATATATATATATATATATATATATATATATATATAATAATAGAAATTTTAGGGGGATTTGAATAATCATATTAAATTCATTCAGACTAGAAGAATCCTCGACAGACTGTAGAAAGCACTGGACGGCTGTTTCGTCGTATTTTGGGACTCATCAACGGTGCGCATCCACCACCGAGAATCGAACCCGGGCCCATTACTATACAACACAAGCGTCATATCCAGTGGACCCTTAATGACGAAGAGCTAACTAACTAGACTCGATATAGCGCCGCTCTCACGAAATTCCGTCGGGTAATTTAACCCAACGGATTGTGCCCCAAGAGCCACGTCTGCTTTCCTCAAGCTACTCCCTCCAGAGCCTTAGAAGCCGGTTCAAGCAAGGATATACAAGTGATAGAAAGTTTTTGAATAATCAAATTAAAGTAATTCATTGAGTCTAGCTGAATATATATATATATATATATATATATTCTTCCAGTTAAAAAAATAACGCAGAAATATATATATATATATATATATATATATAAAAGGTGGCTGTCGGCTCGCTAAGCAAGTATGATGATCACTGACATGTCAAAAAAAACGGGACGTTCTATTTAAATATGGGTTTTCACTAAAATTAACATTTGAAGTTATTTAGACAGAAAGCATTATTTAAAACAAGTTTTATTGAATAATACTGACAAAATCTATCTTTCTAACTTTCGACTCTCACTGTATTAGGTTATTAAAAATCATGGCTAATGTCTGTTTGACCGCATCAGATGACGTCCCCAAGTTTTATTCCAACTAAAATCTCCGAAATTTGCCAAACACATTTTGGTAAACAGACTAATAACTCGAAATTCTTGATAACGACTGGAATGACAATCAAAAATATCCGAATAGATAAAAATGAACTTCGAAAAGTTCACCATTTTTAATTCTGACATAAAACAACTTGATCAGAAGTTGGAAAAACTAAATAAAAAGTTGAACACACCTTGTCAGTATTATTCAATAAAACTTGTTGAGACGCTTAATGAGGAAAGTAGTCTTGGAGAATCTTACACTCACATGACATAGGAGAAGCGGTGAGTAACATATCTAACGAGCTTATGTAAATGAATGGCAGAAGCTGCGTAGGATAGTAAGGAATAAATTATTGATTAGTCAAACGGGACAATTGACTGGTGTGATTGTAAGTTCAATCCTTGGACCTGGCAGTGAATACTCGGTGCCAGTAGAAGCAGTATTAGAATGAGAATTAGACGAGATACCCCTAGACATTGTTAGCAGAATGAGAGCAATCTACCCCTGTAGAAATAAATTCATTTCGAAATTTACGAAAGGGCACAAAGACCGACGTGTTGTGACAACAAAATGTCCCGTATGTAAATAATACAAATATTGATCGACGTAATTCAAATTTTATCTTTGTATTTCGATTGGTTAGAAAAGTTGATTGACGAAATTCATTTTATGCTATCTTTTTTTTTACAAAAGATTTGCACAAGTTAATGTTACGACGTATGTTGCATACGACAAAATGAATTCATTTATTTCATTGAAATTGGTAATCGTTTTTAAATTTGCTGAAATCGGCATTTCCTTTCAAATCTGCCGAATTGGGTATTCATTTTTATTTTATTAAAGTAGGTATTCTTTTTTTTATATTTGCTGAATTGAGTATTCGATTTTAATTCAACTGAATTGGGTATATAATTATTTAGTTGTAATAGGACTTTCCTGAATTTACACAAAGAACCAGATGTTTTGTCGATTATTTCTACAACATTTTTTAGATAATGTTTTCATCAGGGAGTCGCACAGGTGGAGGTAATTTTCCTTTTTCGCTGATCTTGAAAATTGGTATAATGTTTTCTGAGTTTCATGATGACCAAACTTGGAAATGTGCCATTCATGGTATCGGAAAGAACAACAAAAACTGAGATAATGAATTTTTAAAACCATGAAATTAAATTAAGGAGTTTTACACATATTCTCAAATTTTAAGACATGTTCGATGCTAAATTCTGTTTATGAAAAGAAGAATAATTACTGTTGACTATGGTAGTTACAGCTTTTTTTTTTTAAGTGTTTTATCTTGAGACATCTGGCAATGCCATCTTTTGAAGGCTTTCAACTAGCAGAAAAATGAATGCTATATGGATCAAAAGACATGCCTCACTATTTTATGGTGATGCGTTTAGTTAATAGTTTCTGTAAGATCTTTTTTTTTTGTCTATTTAAAAAAAAAAATGGCAGACTTTGCTTCCGTCTACAAATCTTCAACTTTTAACATATTTTTGTCGAATATATTTTTATTAATATTTTTCTCCTCGTCAATGAATAAAGACATTAGAAAATTTGTTCTTCTCTATGTCAATATACATTTTACGCAGTCCGATGCAATGGTCTCCTCCAAACCGAATCTCAAATTTCAAACGTTACTATTCATATAAAATACAAATTTTATTGTAACCTATTTACTACAGTAATGTATCGTATGTAATATAGGTGAACAATTCAACAAGAAAATTTGAAAATAAATGCAATTTATCTGTCTATATTTCTGAGATAAGGTATTGTAACTGTTTACATTATTTACATTGTTCCTCATCTTTGTTGTCACATTCACGACGT